ATGACTACCGAGTTAGAAAATAAATGTGCCCTTTCTTATGGCTAGGCAACTGACATAAGAAGTTTAGATTAGCAATTTCTAGGAAAGTCTATGATGGTAGAAAATTTTAACACAGAACTGTTGTAATGGTAATACAATATATATGTTTATTAAAACTATTGACCTGAATATTAACAATGAGTATTTATAATTTTTAAATTATACCTTGATAATGTAATAGTGATAATAATGATTATTATAATTAATAATGACAATGATAATAATGATATTAATAAAAATAAAACACATTTGAATTTCAAATCAGATCCAATGGAATTCACTAGAATATGTCATGTTTCTAACACCCAAAAAGATGATGAGTTAAAATTGACTTACTTTTCCCTAAGACTCTGCTATCTTTCAAAGCTAAACAACACTTTCTGTGAAGTGGCCAGTTAGCCTTTATAGCTTGCATAGTAGTTAGTCTTATGGAACTGTACATAGTAAATGCCTACTTCTTTTATTATTAGGTTTTTAAATTTTATATGTTGATCACAGTTCCAGTTCCCTTTCCCTCCTTCTCTCCCTCCTCTTACCCTCTCTCCCCCCACACAAGCACCCTGACCACCCATAGGGCAATGCCATCCAGGTGGGATCATGTAAATCTGACAAGTCAAGTAAATGCCTTTTTAAGAATCAGAATTTCTTCGGTTTATTTCAAACCACTGCTTCTCTGAAAACACAAAAATGGAGTTTCAAAGGAGAGAGAGATTAATTTCATGAACCTTTCTTTTTTTTTCTTCTGGTTTTCTCTGTAGCAAAGAGTTTATGTTTGTATATGTGGAAAGTGCAGGGATTTGCATTAGGTTTACTTGCAGTTACATGTAAGGCATCAAGTATATCTTATTTTCCAAATAAAAACTGTATTCTCAAAATGAATGCTAACACTGAATCACAGCCTAGTTCCCTTTGGGCTTCAAAGTGCATTAGTTATTGTTTCCTCTCCACTCTGCAGTCTGTGTCCGTTGAACAAATACTTTCAAAACCATCATACATTTGTCAAAAATCTGCACCTTGGAAATTCATATGTTGAAAAGTTAAGGAACTGCTTTTTAAAAATAAGACTCTTATTTTCATATATTTCCCTTTGCATACTTTACAAAATTATGAATAATGGTATGGAAACATGTTTGCATCTATATGTTTATTTATACATAATATAGGTGTAAGTATTAATGATTTATAAATCTCCTAGCTTTTATCTAAGCTGTCCTTAACATTTTTTAAAATTATTATTATAGTTTGAAAATTTTACTAAATTATGAGGAAAGTGAGGACTGAGGCCTTCGTGCATTTCTTCTAATCCAAAACATAATGGGAGTGACAGACATTAGCAAATAAACATAACATGCCATACAATCTGAATTATAAAAGTATTTGGAAAGGAGAATCTATGGTATGTAAATTAAAGAAAACAAGGACAAAGCATAACTTTTGTACTTATATTGCTTTTTTAACTACCTCTGTAAATATCTTTACAGTGTAAGATCTTAAGATTTTGGTTTCAAAAGCAATCCATCATGTTTACTATTCCTGGCAGTTTCAAAGAGCCTTTTCTGGGACATATTACAACTGCACATGTTTATTCTGTTATTAAAACAGAATTAAAATGTCTATTAATGCATTTGAAATAATAAAATCAATATGCTTTAAATACATTACATGCATTTTATAAAATCATTTTATGAAAAAAAGGGACACTGGGGTGACTTGTTCCCATCTTCAGATCTGTTTCTTTGAGACTTAAACAAATGCATCTGAATTCTCATGTTTAGTTTCATACACAGTCTCTCCTGATGCCACACAGTAGATAGCTTCCAAATTATACTGGATATTTTCAAAAAATGAGGATGAGGATGATAAAGGAAAAATCCTTGTTAGCACCATTTTGAGAGCTGTTTTGAGTTGGTGGATCCATGAAAACATCATGAACCATAAGGTTTCACTATCCATATCTTGAGATATGATTGACAAAGAAGAAGCTAGCACCATATTTTCTCTTTATGTTTCCTTTTGGCATTGTTTTTGTCTCCTATGAATAAAAACGATTTTTTTATTTCATCCACTAATTGTGCTTATATTTATGGCAGTTTTATAAACATTTTATTTACTTTTAGATCTGTTTCTCTGATAGGAGATTTTAAAAGACACATAACATGTCTACTTTGAAGGTATTTAAACAAATTGTTCTCTAGCATGTTTGAGAAAATGGGTATGCTACATTTCATTATTCATTTTCTTGCACTTATCCTTGAGTTCTGAGGTAGCTACTGATTTGTATGGTGTTTCATTACTGAGGAAGCTACCATGCACATCATTTATCTCTAAACATGAGAAAAAGTAAGAATGGAAGAATTTACTCTGGAAAATTTAATGTGTACATGAAAACAACCAGAGTATAACAGATAGTTCATAACAACACAGCTAGTGTTATAGCACCCAGGATTAAAAAATCATGGCCAATTTTGTTTCCTTTCTTTTTTTACTATTCTCCATACTTATTTTTGAAGTTAATTACAGACATGGTATCATTATTTGTATATATTTTAGTAACCATGTCAAAATGATATTTTCAGTCCTGACTAAAGCTAATGAGAACATATTATATTTTTGAAAATGCTCATAGAATAAATACAAAACATTCCCATGCAAACATGGGAAATAGCTTCCTTTAGTCATTAAACAACACATAAATACACACACATACACCCAAATACACACACACACACACAAACATATATTTCAAAATATCATGTTATACATAATAAGTAGATAGTTTTATCTGTCAAAATAATTACTGAATTAATAAATAATTAATATTTGATTATTATTAATAATCATATAATAAACCATAGCTAGGTTGATCTTGGCAAGTAGCAAACAAGGTCAAGTCAAAGGTTGAATTTTCCTACCTTTAGATGCTTTATAAAGTTTATCATGTGTGGTTCCTGATTCATAGGTTCACATATTTAAAATAATTTAGATTCCTAAGGACTTATTGAAGATATTACAGAGTATTTCAAAGTATTTAATTTTGTATGGATCTATCTTGACTAAGGATAAACAAAACTATACACTTAGTGGTATTTATTGAAGTATGAATATATATGGAAAATACTTTGTTATTTTAGGAATAAAGAAACTTGGAGAGAGGTAACATGTGTATTTTCTAGAAAAAACTGATTCCAAAAATAATAATTCTCATTCCTCATTATGAAGAATTAAAGCAATTGAATTTAGGTTTAGAGCATAGTAATTACAATAGTAAATTAGTAGCATTTATTGCCATGAATAATACAGTTTAGTCTTTTTTTCCAGTTAGATTAAAAACTATAATGAGTTACAGAAGATAAGGCTGAAAAGAAATCCTTTAATATGAAGCAAAAATAATGACATAAGTAGATGGATGGATATATTATTGTAGAACCTGTTGATTTAGGGTAAATGCTTCAAAATATCTATTATATAACCCACAAAAATAATATCAGCATGACTGGAAAATATTATGTCTTTTTGATATATATTTTGGAAGTAACTGAAATAATTTTCAGGAGGTAGTAACTTGTGCAAATGCCCCTCAAAGCATTAATTGGACTCAGTATGTAAAAATTTCCAAAAATGATTATCAAATCTAAATATATATTAAACTATAGAATATGTTTTACAAGAATGAAATGACAGGAAACAGAGCACTTGTGTTTTAATTATTTCCCTTGTTTTTTTCATGCTGAACAATAATAGATATATGATATTGAAGTATCTTTCTTTGGTACAAGAAAAAAATTACCCATTTCAACAGGAAAGCAGTACTAGATTCCTAAATGATGAGTAATCTGAGGAAATCAATAGAGAGCAAACTATCCCTCATTGAATAATCATTCATCAAATTCTGCAGTACAATTGCAGCTGAGCAGGCAAGTGACTTCCAGTGTCATCATGAAAACAAACAAAATAATGGGTACACCATGCTAGCTCTACCTCTTGTACAAAGAGCACCACAACAATGTCTTCAAAACTTTACGAGTTTTTTCTGTTTATATTGACTGGGAATGAAACACAGACAGTGCAGAGTAATTTAGAAAGAATACAAGAAATATCCAGGGTATATTTCATACACTTAAAATTTTTTTATCTCACATTTCAAATGATGAAAATCTCATTTGTAATGTGAAAATTTCATATTTTTTCAAGAGTTTCAGGCTCAGAAAATATAAAGAAACACAAACATTATTATGCTGGAAGAGATGTAGGAAACATGACAATGAAATACAGTCATGTATATAATAAAATTATCCTAGATTGTATCATGAGGCAGTAGATAAAATAATTGATTATTGAAGAAACTCAAATTTTTGGATAAAATCTAACAGCTGTTTTAATAATATCATATTCATGTTAGTTTCCTTGGGTTGATCAGTTTATGCCAGATTTGTGTCAACATTAGGAAAACTGGGCAAAGAATGGGCAATGTATCACTTGGTACCATTTTATTGAAGCCTGAAATTATTTCAAAATAAGGAGTTTAGAAAGTCTATCATCAACTTTGATCTATAAACTGACACAAGTAATCTGAAAGAATCTGGTCCTAAGATATCCAAACTTCTGTATTCTCTATACTCAGCTATCATAGTATTCAAGAGAGCAAACAGCATTGTAATGCCCTGACCACATTACTTCCTGAAGCAGTAACTATGAGCACTGTTAAATCACACACTGTTAGAAATACAGAAAATGTAGAGATGATTGTATCACTTAGTGACTTGTCTTGCAAACAACATGTCATTAATGTTTTTTGTGTGTTTATGTGTTCAAATGAATAGCCTGTTATGTTTGGACATGTGTTAGAACAGATATAAACAGTTGTTTTCTAAAATTTAATGAGTCATTTAAACTGAAATACAAATACATATGTCAATGTGACATTAGAATTAGAAATAATCAGATACTTCAGTTTGCTTTACCTGAAACTGTGTGATCCTTAGAGTCTCGAGTTATTTTTATCCTTGCATGAGGAAAGATGTAGTGCACTATCTTGCCATTCATCTGCAGAATCTAGGACACATAAAGTATTTGGTAAAAATAAGTAATAAAAATCCTTAAAATACATTATACAAAACTAACACTTGTTCAATTCAAAGTACATCAATTCAATCAATGAAAATATGCCAGAATACTTATGCACTCACACTGCATAAGTATTAAATTAGTTTGTGAGTTTCATTTATAACCTATCACTCTTAAAGACTGACTTCTCTTATTTGGAAAATCAATGAGCATCTATATTTGTTTCTAAAGGATGTTTCTGACTACAGTGATATGTACTCATTGTTGATAACAATGAATAATTTAGATTTAGAAAAGCCAGTCTTTGATTTTGCACTTGAAAGTCGGGAAATAGAAATACATTCCCCACTTTGGTAATTAAGTTAAGCTAGAGGAGAAATCTCAGAGAATATCCTGTCTTGTCACATTACTGTCACCATAACTAGATCTGTGATATATTTAAGGTGCTTAAATTTTACTGTGGAATTTTATGAGAAAATCTTCTAGATTCATATTCAGAATAGTCTGTCTAAATGAGTAAAGACTTTGTTCATGCAAATGCTCCCTTATTCTGTCTTCATATTCAAAGGTTATGCTACTGATGGAGTAATTTCTTATTACTATAGGAATTTCTAAAGCAGAAGGAACAATACTGAAGCTACTGTGGTGTTTGTTTTTTTCCTACACTATTTCATAGCTGGGCTTGGTTTTTTGTTTGATAATTTGTTCTATGTGTCTTTTATATCATGTATATTAATCCCAATTCATTTCCCTCATGGAATTCATCCACATCATGGAAGCTAGAGTGTGACACAGTGAGTCATGCTATAAACACTTCTGTCCATATATCTGTACTTGTAAGTGTTCATTGAAAAAGTAATTGGTCTCATTTGGAGCCTCTGATTCCTACTACACTATTGATGCTGGGTCCTTACTAGGACTCTTGCTGGGTATCCTGTTGTTGAGATAATTCCTTAAAATTATTTTACATCACCTCACTCTTATTTCAATGATTTTATGACTTCCTGTAGGTTTAATGACAATTTAAATCATTTATCCAATTGGCGAAAAATAAACTAAGACAAAACTATTGCAATTAGAGTTTCTTTCTGTTCTTTATGTTCTTATTGCAGATATAACCTCATAATCTCTAGACTGTAGTTTGAAAGAATAGGAAGCTTCTTATTGTGTTCTTAGGGAATCATTATTACATTTTAATCAATATCTGTGATGTTGGGATATTGAGCATCTCCTTAGAGTATCTTCACACAATTCCACAATTTTTAAGACTTTGCAATCAGCATCATGAGTTCAGTCACTAAAACAATAATCTTTTATAGTTATTATTGATATGGATGAACCAATAAATAGCAGTATCACAATTGCAAGTAAATATTGACAGAGCTTTCTGGGAAATAGGCTTACAAGGCAGCTTGTTTTTGTTTGTTTTATACCAATATTATCAAGAGCATTACAAGGGACACAGGGAGGTTAAGTGATACACCAAGGTGCTAGGCTCTGTAATCATGGTCTTTTGATAATTCTACATCAACAAGACTGTCACCTGCATGTATCCCAGAAAATGCATTGTTCTTCATTCCTAACCATTATTTTCATGAGCTGGGTACATATTTATGAAGCAATTAAATTTGTATTAGTTTAACTTTATTTACACATTCATCCACTTTGATGAATGCTTGATATAGGGAACAGGTGTCGACCTGTTTCCCCACACTGTACTGGATATTGCACACTTACATGTCAAGGTGTGTAGGGTAGAGAGCTGTAATGATGCATATGATTGTGATCAAACACATAAGACATGGTTTATTATCAAAGCATAAGGGAAAGAGACTTTCTCCAGTTTTGTAGCAAGATGGTATAGTTAGTATCATAGATATCTTATTGTATGAGGGGGCTTATTCATGACAACCTGAACAACCAGTATGCTTAGCAAAGTGACTAGAGTCTAGAGAAAGAAAACACAGTGTTCAGGTACAAATGTAAGAGAAAGCATGACCCCTTCAGAAGAGGTTAATATACCTAAGGTAGGAGCTCCATAGAATTTTCAGATGACTTGAGCTTTACTGTGACACTGGGGAATATTTATTATAGCCAACATATGGTGATTTACCTTTAAAACTATCATGTAAAAGTTATTGATATTTTTAAATAAAGAAAAACCTTAAAAATAATTAAGATTAGATGGTCTATTTATTTCACAAAGAACACTTGGATTTCTTTTGAATAGTACAAGCATTAAAAGTGTATAAATTTGAAAGGAAACAAATACTGTTTAGGTAAATTTATAGTTAATATGATTATAAATTTAATACTTTTTCCAAAAACAATCCTCTATCCATGTAGTGTTTTGTGTACAAATTTTTACAAAAAGTGAATTCATGTTTGAATTAGTCAAGTGAATTTTATCCTATTTCCCCCAGAGTACTGCATGGCAATAAATTCTTGTTGTACATGTTTCAAGTCAGAGCATCCTTGTTTTTTGGTATCAAGGGCTTGGTATTACCTTTTATTATCAGATATAATAAAGAAGTAAATAAAATGAAATTGTCTCAAGACCAAAATAAAGTTCTCGATTTAAAGGATAAAATAGTATTTGAAGATAAATATCAGTGCAGTTATGCATGAACTTCACATGGAATTAAATGTTACATATTTAAGGCATTTGCTGTCTTCTATATAGAATCCATTTAGAAAACATATAAAGAAAAGTAAAATTATTGCCATAAAAATTAACATGTCTGTTACTTGTTTAAAGGGAGGCTGTGATTAAAGAGTGGCATGCAAGTTTCTGGATCTGGCCATTTTCCCTATCTTAGCTATTGGGGTATTTGCACAGCTGTTCATTTTATAGTAGTTTATAACTTTATGCATTTTTCCTATATTACTTTACAGTTTAATAAATACTAATGCAATGGTTTAGTTTTGAAAAATATAAGGGTTCTGTTAGCAAGAAAATACATTATTATTGTTACATTCACTCAACAAGGATCTTTATGCTTGTGTTTCCTGAACTAGTATGTAGTTTTTGAAACATTCACCCATAAATCCTTTCTCCTTTATGCATCATACTAGTCTGCAAGTACATATTTAAGATACAATGTACTATAGCCTCAAAATTACTAATCTGTATGTGTATCAGAATATTAAAAACAAAATATCATTTGCAATAAATATATTTCATCTATCTAAAAAGAACAGGAAAATATTTTAGTAATTTGTTAAAATAGATAAAGATTAACTCAATACAGTCTCAAATAACATTAGATAATAATTTCTTGAAGAACTTCAGAGTATCTCTGGAACATTATTTGATGGCAAGCAAAATTTTAGACTTGTGGTTTCTATAGCAACTCTAATTGTGATTTAATTAACATACTTAACATCTGATTGTCTTTGTCCAGGCTTTTAGAGGTCACTAAACTACAGAGACCCAGATGGACAATAAATAATAATTATATTTGTTTCATTATTATGGACATTCCTAGCCAGATCTTTATGGTGGGATTTGAAACATAACTATAGATACAATGTTAAGAGTAACAAGAAAATAAAATTCAATATAATCTGATAAATTAAAATACAAAAGCCCCCAAAGTATGCAAATGTTTAGTCAATATAACCCTAAACAAGAATGTATTATTCCAAGAGAGCCTATTACATAGAGAAACCCTTTCTCAAAAATAAATAAATAAATAAAACCAAAACCAAAAACCAAAACAAAACAGAAAACCCTCAAAAAATAATGTTAAAAATTAGAAAGGAAATGTTTATAATATTTATATTACACATATCTATATTGCACAATGTTCTTTCAACCTCTTTAGCAGCCCCATTTCTTTTCCTTTGATTCAGTACCAGAGAGATGGTATATTGATACCATAATGAATGAATCATTCAAATTGTCTGGTACAAACATCACAAATGTCCATCAAACTGATAAAGTACTTTCTTCATTAAATTGATGAAAGGAAAGAGTTTAGAACTTGACTGACAAATATTTCAGTTAACAGACTAGTCTATTTTAGAACCAACTCTTGTTGCTAACAAATCCGAGAGACAGTAAATTTTCTCACTTACTTGCTCTTGATGTTGACTGAGGGGTCTGGAATGAATCAATCTTTCTGGCAGTTTCCGGTCCAGACCATGGCCATTTTCCAACCGAGATTCCCTGGGTTTATCAAACCAATCCGTTTCCTCCCGACGCAAGTGATAGGCTTTGGAGACCAAGGAAACATCATACATTGCAACCGCAACTAATTAGGTGATAGAGGGAAGCAAATGTTCTGCAGTATTAGCATGCACTGGGCTTGTTGACCACGCATGCATTTCAGACATAACTCCCATCAGAACTAGAAATATCTCCAATGGTATCTACAAATTTTCATACAACAGAATAATCTAAAGAAAATGAGGCACACATATGCTCAACATCTCATTGTAAAATAAAATTACATTGAAATCAGTATAAATGAAATTTAGATGACAATAAATAAATAAAGGTATATAAGAATAATTTCATTCAACTTAAATCCATCAGCTCCCACTTAGAAACCTTACCCTACAGTCCACTATGTATGAATAAAAGTCAACAGGAAATGCACAATGTGCATATACAAGTTTCTCTTAATTTTCCACTTTTGTATAAACAAAGCAGCAGTGTATGGCTTTGGACTTTAACACTGAGTGAATATATGTTTTGAAAAAAAAATGACATTTCTTTGACAATAAGTAAACAAAAGCATTTAATACTAAGTTATACTATATGCTAGAAACACATTTACTGCGAGAAATTTGCCACTTAATAAAATATAAGTAAAGTCAGTATATATGAGAATCTTTAATATAAATAAAATTATCATTATCTCAAATTTATGCTAACTTAGAAATTTCACAATTACTTTAATTAATGTTCCACCATGATAAAAACTTGATAGTATAATTTAAAATTTTAATCACATTTAAATCATTCAAATACAAATTTAAAAAGTTCACCTAGTTATACCAGTACTTTCCAGATTTCTTTAGGATATTGCAAAGTGACGAAAAGTTCCATTCTTGGCATTCCTTGGCTATAATCTTGCCCTCCACCCCCACTCTACCTAAGAGCCTTTGGAAATAATATATTGTTGTTTCTCAAATGGCAATGATAGGACCTGTTTCCTTGCTCAATTACCTGATACTTTAAATATAATTTCCTTGAAATGACAGCTTCTAAAATGCCACAGATTGAGCTATCCTCTCTATCTCATTCAAGGTGGCTTTATGTGTCTACTGCATCCTTGAAAATTTTCTCCAGAGACTGCCATTTTTGGCATTTATTGGCTGGTAGGTTTATATAGCCAGTGTGTGCATCACTGTTCAGCTACACGTCTGTAGCCTTGCACAGCACTGCATCTCAACCACACCACCTCTCCTAAATAAACAAGGACTGAGAGTTGGCATAGCTCAGCTTCACCAATTTTAGATTTGATATCTAGATGTGGCTGCATATACTCTTAACTGATTTGTCTATTAGACTAACAGCTGCTTGAAGAGGAAATTCATAGCTCTTTTGTTATTTTCTCCTCTCTCTATTTTCTCTTTCATCTTATTTGGGACATAGTGTTTAATAAATTTTTATAGAAAGAGTGAAGTATAGAGTTGTCATCATCTAAATAAAAAAGGTAAAGACAATAATTATGAGTTTATGATAACTTTTACTTAAGTCTAATTTATAGGCATTCAATATTCTGTTCACAATCTTCTTGATAATTATTGTGCCAAGACATAGTGTTAATTTGAAGCTGAGTGCATAAATTTACAAAATTATTCAGAATAACAAATAGTTGATAAATAAAACAATAAACCTGATAATCACCTGTCTGTGAACATACTAGATTATATATAACCTCTTTAGAATAAAATAATTTTGTATAGGTATTGCTTATATTTATAATAAATTTTAAGTATTTTTAAAACAAAAGTAACAATTCATCATATTTCAACAGGAGTTTATCCTGAATAATATAAATTTTCATTTGATTATATAACATTTCTAAACTAATTTTGTATTTTTGGTTGTGAGCCTATCCTTTAATGGCTGAGCCATCTATCCAGCCCCCTAATTTCATTTTAAATACAACTATTAAATGTGTTTTAGGGGGCTCTGGATATCACAAATATGACAGAACCTCAATCTGATCAAAATTTTTATCAGTTTATCTTCAATTCTGGTGACTTATTTGATTTTGTTATTTCTAATAATAGTTCTATATGTAACTGAATGTAAAACACATCTACCATCTTTTATAGTAATATAGGATCAAGCTAGAGCAACTAAATTCCATGACTCTGTTCTTATATCATATTCTGTCCTTCTTTATGGAGTGCCAGGTATGCTGGGTTAGCTGTTCCTTACAGCTTGTGTTTAATCTTCTGAAATGGAACCATATTACAAATGAATTTTATAAAATGTATCATGTCTGTTCCATACTGACTCAAATAATTTTTTGATTCAAATAATTCAAATCATGTATTTGCATGATACAAAACAGTGAAAATATATAACATTTTTCTGTGAACATATTTTAAAGATATCTAGTATGATGCAATCACAAAGTTACAGTGTAATTCAACTGGTTATATTCTTTTATCTAATTCTCTATTGATATTCTTTATGAATGAGTTTTGTCTGCTTCATTTTAAAATGCATTTTAGTTCCCCTCCTATTGTTCTCTGCTTTGGTACTATCTTTATTTGTCTTAATACTGTGTAGGATATGTGCTATCTTATCCTGTTATCATCAAACAAGACTTCAGTCACTGCTATATACAATATCTATAAATAAAAAAACTCAGTGAATTTTATATGTGTACAATCAAGTAAATGCCACATTTTGGGCTAATTACAAATATTTACATGTCTAACACCAAATTGAAGACACATTTCTGAGGAATAAACCTATTTGTCATATTCTTTCTAGGTAGTTATCATCTATATACACAATAGATTGTCACTTATGTGCATATGTCCTTTGGGCATTGAGTTGCCCAAGAGGTTTTATTTTATTTTTTACAGATTTGGTCATTGAATACCTTCCTTTTCCATTTCACAATCATTCTGCATGTGCACAATGAGTATAAAAAATATACTAGACTAAAAGAACAACTGTTTCCATGTAATATCATAATTCCAGGTAAGCTATGTGGATTAATTCAAATATTGGCCTACTACAGATATATACAAATGAAATGTTTTACTTAAATAACAAACTGTCAATAAATATGGTCAACCAATTATCCTGTAAAAAGAAAAAACAAAAAACAAAAAACAAGTTCAAAAGAAACTTGGTGATCAGAACTTCATAAGTAATGTAAATGGTCCTTTTATTTCAGGTCCAAAGATCTCTTATTCAGAATATAGTGTATATTTCAGTTTCTAAAATTATATCTGTGTCTACAGACAGAATTAAAAAAAAGAAAAGCTCTTTATGAAAACATATTTTTTTTGTGTGTGTGTGAGCTTTTAACTAAGAAACTTAGATTCATATGGAAGGATATTCACATAGGTTTAGTATTTTTTAGTATACAAATGAATGAGATTTATTTTATTTCCAGGATCTCAGGCCCACATATATTCAAACACAATCCAATATACAAGATGGTTAATGTTTTTGATACAAACACTTATGGTGCTGAGATAGGAGGATAACCATAAAAATGAAACTAGTCTGACGTATATAGTAACTTCCAGGCCTGAATGGGCTACAGAATAGGACCTATTTATAAAATTTAATAAGGTAAATAATATGTACATATACATATATAACATCATAGACTTTGCAAAACAATTTTGAAAACCTTTACATTTCTATGAATATTTCCACTTAAAAGAAAATTTAATGTAGTATTGCTTGCTCAGCCTAAAAATTAGCAAGACACTTTTGGGCAGAAAGGAAAGGCAATGAAATGCCAAAGGGTACAACAGGAAGGATTGGATTCAGGGCACAGCAGGAAGGCCTAGACTCCAGACAGTGACACTCTCAAAACAGCCTATATTTTTTTCAGTTTTTAAATATAGACTGCTTTATATATACTGAAAAATTATTTCTATATCTTGAGTTATACTTTTTAATGTATAACACTAAATGTACAAAGTTGTCAGTAATCTTCATAATAAAGGGACATGGAACATATCTATTCAAAGAGAACGATAAAATTCCACATCATACTGTCAAACTTTTGCAAAAGCTCTTCACATGAGAATGTGAAGCCAACAGTCATTTCCATTACAGAGTATTATTCAATGGTCTTAGCCCTTAATGATTTTATTGAAAATGTTAAAATGTATTTTTAAAGTGTAAAGAACCATACAATGAAAACCTTCCAGTTATGTATTTTAAGGTTGACCATATTTTATTGATAGAATTTTGTAATGCTTGTTTAAAAAATCTGACACAAAACAAATCAAGCCAATAATAAAGAAACAGTAAAATAATAAAGTAAAAACTATCAAAGAGAAACATGCCACTGGATGTACACACAAGAAGTACACATACAAGAAACAAAATTGAAATAAACATGCAAAAGTTGCACCAAGAAAGACGGACTACATTTTTGAAGAAAGAAAATTAAACATGCAGAAATATACAAGTTTGAGTTTTGAGAGTAACAGGGTAGTTTGAGGCCCAATTTACCTTCACTGTCAGACATAGCATGTTGGAAGTCATCCATGATGAATGCTATGTCACGGTCATACCCACGTGTCCGTGACTCTTCTCTCATGTGTTGTTGAACTTCAGGCAATGAGTGACTTGACCCAAACTGATCCCTTGTATCTGCAGATATGGGGGGCAAAGGCCCAGCTGCAGCCCTGGCCATTCCCATTGGCTGTCCAACAGGACTGAGTGGACTTTCTTCTTCTGAATTCTGGGCCACAATTGGTATTCTTCCTCTACTCTGGCTGATTGGTAGGCTGGTGGGCTTTGTTCTTGAAGATGATGATGAATGGCCAAAGGTGACATCAAGAGCTTCAGCCTCTTGAGCTTTCAGTCTTAGTGATGAGCTGGAAGAATCCCTCTTAATTGATAAATCAAGCCCATAGACAGAGGAAGGTCTAGAGGAAGGCCTCGACCGGCTCCCACTGCTGTAGGGCTTATCTGCTTCATCCTGTAGAGCAGATCTGATGGTATTTCCTAAAGTGCCCAGTCCTGACCCAAGCGATGAGCCCATAAATTTTTGTTGATCTGTAATATTTTTTCTGAGTCCAAATGTGATATCATCTTGCAGAAGTCTTGCCCTAGAGGAAATACCACCAATAGATGAAGTACTAGAACTCATATAACTTGGATAATCAGGTTCAAGATCTCTGCTTTCTTGAATAGGTGAAAACTTGGACATTTTAGGATCAATTAATGATTTCTTATGCTTTGATTGCTTTTGGTAAAGTATGGCTGCTGGCAATTGTTTGGCAGCTTGCTTTTCAAGGGTGAGTCTACTGATGCTGTACTTTTCAGACTTGGGGAAATGTCTATAGCTAGTGTCAGCATGATAATAATGTGAAAGACCAGCAAGGTGATCTAGGCTCTCTGTTCCTCTACGGAATTCCTGCTTAATCTGCTGTTTCAGAAGCTTTAACTCATATGGGTCCTCCATCGGGTCCTCCTCTGCTTTCACATAGCTGTGCAATCTGGAGGAAGTCTGCAAAGGTGCTAGGAAATCTGTCACTTCTTGAGACCTACGTGTCTCGGTGGTTCTAAGGAGGCGGTCTGTTTTGGACAGATCCTTGTCATGAAGACTAAATGCAGTGCTCAGTGCTGCTGTCCCTTTGGTGATCTCTCCAATGTCATCTATTAGGACATAATTCCTTGAAGTGTGGTGGTCAATATCTGCATAGAAAGAGTCTGCAGATATGCTTGATATTGGACTGCTTACCATGCTGCTTCTTTCCTCCAAACCTATTCTCAAATCTAAACTATTGTACTTACTCCCAAGATGGGACACAGCATATGTATTATCAGTAGAAACAGGAGCTATCATCAGGGGTTGGTTGCGAATCACTTCATAGTTGGAAGTTATCTTGGGTTCCAAATAAAGTGTGGTTTGCCGAGGTTTCTGCTGTATCACCATCATCTGCGATGGTAACTGATAAGATGGTTGTGGGCTTGGAGTGGGTTGAGCCTGGGGTGTGAAGGACATGGTTGCCACGGCTTGGAAGGTTGGTTGAGTCTGATAAGGTGAGACTTGCTGGTGATACAATGTCTGCTGTTGAAAGTGAGATTGTTGAGTATATGGGGTGGGTGCTTGGGTGGGAAGAGCAGGAGATGAGTACTGATATTGTGTGTAAGGACTTGTAGGAGGGACCAGCTGAGCTTCTGTTTGGGTTTGTGGTGGTATAAACTGGCTGAATTCAGTTTGAGGAGCTGTTCTTGGTCGCTCAATGCCATGCTGACTTTCTATTCGGCTTGGTCTGGTGCTGCTGACCTCACTGTCAGACATGTAATCGCGGTCCTCAGCTACCCCCTGCAGGTAGGCACGCTCTCTCTTTTCTCTCTCCTTCAGTAAGGCTTCCTTTCTTCGGTTAATTCCCATTTCCAGATACCGCAGCTTGGCATCAATCTCCTTTTCTTCTTCGTCAAGTTCTGCTTGCTTCTTTCTAAGCTTGGCCGACTCCCTTTCCACGAGGTCAAGCTCTCGGTCTATGTCCTGGAGAATCTTGGCTCGAGCCATGGTATTGGTTCTGCACATTCTTCTCCTGGACGCAGTACCCATGGTGCTGTAAGCTGACTGTGTTCCAGTTGATGCCTCCTCAGGTGGGGGATTTGGCAGTGTTCTTTTTACCTTTTTCTGGGTTCCAGAGGCTGTCATGGTTTGAGAACCTTTAGTCTACAATCAAGTAAACAAAATATATATTTTACTATCAAATAAGAAGACCAAAAATAAACTAATAAAAACTGATTTCACATACATTGTAGAATCATAGCATGGTAAAATTAAAATTTCACCCATGTTTCAAAAGTTGAAAATCTTTGTAAATTAGTTTTTTATAATCATAATATCTGTAAATATTTGAGGGTAATATTTAACTCAGGGCAAACTCTTCATGCAAGCTTACATTTTAATTTTGTGCTTAGAAGAACACTTTGGACACTATTTTCAATCTAAGTTATTAAAAATAAGATTTTTTTAATCAGTGCTGATGTATTGCTAATCTGAATGCAATATACATTTGTTGGAGATTTATGTCTACCTTTTTCATTTTGTATTGTACATACCTTGCAATTTCTAATATTTCCACGATTGTGTGGATTCCTATTCCCATTAAATTTTGGTAATTTGTACCAATTTTACTTTCTTCTGAGTGTTTTATCAACTTTGTAAGACCAAAATTAATTTACTGCAATAAAAGTTTATTGGAGTTAGTTTCAATCAGGTAAAACAATAGATTTTTAAAATAGCACGTGAAGTATTTTTTGTTTTACTTTATTTATTTGACATAGGCTTGTTTTCTAATCGGTAGAAGTCTTGAGAATAAAATCAGAATAGCCAAGAGATCATTGTATGGTTATAATACACTGATGTTCTCAAAGCAGTCTGTGTGTCTGTAGCATGCTCAAGTTGGAGCTTGGTCTCTGTTCTCATCCATGTTTTTTAAATGCCATTTTCTTTTCCTCTTAGCAATCCAAAGATGTAATTCCTTCTTACCCTTCAGTCATCAAAAATATATGACAAAAGTGGATGCTACATACTTCATTTATTATTATATTATCATAATTATAAATTATTTCTTATTAAGTAGATCATATTTGTCTAGATCCCTGTGCTTTTGTTTCTTTCAAATATCATTTCCTAGTCCACTTCCTTCATGTTTCTGATCTGCTTTCCTAAATAGATTTTATGAAGTATGAATAAGGAATAATTCCAATGCAGCTGTTGCACCCATTACTAATCATTTCCCTCAATCTGCCCATATCATATATATGCACAATGAAGCCAGGGTGTTGTTATGAAGGTCTAATGAAACAGCTATTTTAATACAATAGGTGCCCCTTAATATTACTACAAAAATATTATTTCTGCAGGACTTTGTGGTTTTCTAATAAATTTACATTTGTGGTTTTCTAATAAATTTACATTTAAAGGTATCAAAGGATGCTTCTCTATTGCTTAGACCTACTACACAACAGGTCATGAATACGGAAACTTGCCAAGATAGTAGCTAATGTGAGTTGGGGTATACAATGAGTGAAATTTTAGTTCCTCAGGCCAAAGTGGCTATGGTAGTAAGTTATGCTATTTGGGGACAAGACTTACTGTATGTGCATGTATGAGCACTTATTTATATGTGCAACATGTATATGCTCGGTGCCCACAGGGCCCAGAAGTGATTTCCAGATCTGGTTAATTTTTGTCAATTGTAAAAATATTCTACTTCCATATTGAATGACTCCATAAGAGTATACCTTTATACCACAGGATTTTGTCATGATCTTCTAATTAGGTGTTTAAAACTTTCTGTGTCAAAATAAAAACAATGAAACAAACTACACTTTAGAGTATGCATTGACCATGAGTTAATTCTGTGGGTGCCCTTTAACTATCACTTCAGAAAAGAAAAAAACAAGACCATGATTGAGATAACTGTCACAAATCAATAATATAACAAAGCAAAAGCAATCTTAGACTTAATTTCTTTGCTTATAATTCCAAAAAGTAAATGTTATAGAAAATTTAAAATATCAAGACATTTTTTCAATTGAGTTCACACATTCATTCATTCATCCCTCCCTTTGGGGAAAAGTTAGCTGTCAATATATACAGACTTGACATAAATGTAACATCTGTCAGTGTAGTACTTATTCTTTTATCCACTGGGATATTGAGATGTAAGTTGTATCTTAAAAGCGTCATGAAGATTTCTAAAAATATGAGTATATTTTTTCTTCAAGTAAGTAACAGATGAGCTTAATGTTCTGATTCTAGGCTGCTAAATTCTAATGTCATACATCAAGAGCTTTGATCTCGGAAAAGAGAGTAGGACACGTTCTGTCTGAATGTCTTAGGAAAAGTGAACACAGAAGGCTTTACTGTTTAACAAAGAATGACAAATATTTCTGGGACAACCTTTTCTTACATACTGGTTTTGCAACACTGAGTCAGAGTGAGTCACTGCCTCTGCCTTGTAGATAGACAATACTAATGGATAGGTCAGTGTTTATTCACTGTTCATTCCTTAAACAAAGGTGGGATTATCTTCTTTGAATATACTACCTTCAGTGTGTCATTTGAAAAGAACTGATTGTCATTTCTAAGTATAGATTTGGCAAGGACGTCTTGAGCTTTTCACCACTAGCTTTTTTCCCCCCAGAACATTGCTGCCATTGATTATATTTAAGCTGTTGAGAGAGAGAAAAAAAAGTCAATCATGTAGGAAAATTACAGTGGGGGTGAAAATGGGAGGTCACCTTAAAAATAGACAAAGGTCATGAACTCCATACCAGGGCACAAAATCATGTGGGTGGGGCAGCTTAGTTTGTGATGGAAAAAAATGAAGGTGGAAACATCATGCTAAGTGAATTGATTCAATCTGTTAAGCTTTAGTTTTCTTTCATAAAACATGGAGGTCCAGTGTTAAGATGTCTTTTTAGTTTCTCACCAGAAATAGGAGTGTCCATCAATTTTTTGGTCTTTGTTTTAAATGGATTCACACTATTGTCAATATCTGAAGAACCACCCATTTAGGATGCATGCTGGTTTTGAGTCAATGCTCTAAAGAAAACCATTCTTGCTTATGGGAAACATCCACTTAATTGCCTTTCTAGGGTGGGGAAAACATAATGGCTGGTTGAGAAAAGGCCAGGCCATAGATTTTAAATGATGAAGGAAGACAAGGGGGATAATGAAATGGCCTTCAAAACACCAAGTGATGGTGATTCATGCCTTTAATCCCAGCACTTGGGAGGCAGACAGGCAGATGCAAGTGGAACTCTGTGAGTTCTCGGTTTACTAAATTTTCTAACTTTCTTCACCATTGTTAGCTAACTCTGAACTATGATTCTTCAGAGATTTTTTTCCTTATAAGTTTCATAATTTCCCCTTACTTTTTTATAATTTCTTTGAGACAGATTATTTCAATTACTCTGATCCACAGCTTTCTGGTATGCAGCTATTGTTCAAAGTTATAGATGCCAGAACAAAATTATATATATATATATATATATATTATATATATATATGAAAAAACTCACTTTCAAACCTCTTCAAAGGGTTGTTATGAATAACTATAAAATGGGATGAGAAAGAGCATTTTGAACTTTCTTAAAGCCCAGTGTGGTGACATCTGCCTGTCACCTGGCATCTTGGAGGATGAAGCATGAAAGTGTGTGGAAATAACACAGACAAAACAAAAAACAATGAAAAACCTTCTGTGTGCAAAAATTTTTGCTGAAAAGTTTTTTGTTGAAATTGTGTAAAGAAATTACTTCAACAGTTTAGTATGACTGGATCATCACATATTACACAAGATATTAATGCATGCAATTAAATATGACATAATTAATGGTATAGGAGAAGCATTGCTATGTACTTTACATGCCATGAATGCATCAGGATATAGATATGATATCTAAGAAACTGCATATAAAGCTGGTTATGGGAAAGACCTTATAAAGTAAGCACTGAAGGCAAAGACAAGTGGACCCCTGGGCCCTTGGGACCTTCTGGCAAACCACTCTAGCTGGGCTAGTGAGCTCCAGATTCTTGCAAAGAAACTTTTCTTAAAAAATAAAATGAAGTAAAATTGAGAAGACACCCAACATTGACCTCTAGCCTACATATGCTCGCGCGCGCGCGTGCGCGCGCACACACACACACACACTCACTTACAACTACACTATTACACTACTACTTTCTTGACTAGCTCTTGCTTTCAATAACTGAGATATAGTAGTAAACTCTTCTATGTCAATTAAAAGATACAGCAATGTATTTCTCATTTTATAAACATATTAATAAATAATAATTATTATAATTATACTGTATCTTGACTTTGAAGATTTGTTTTCTCTGTTAAGGAGGATTTATATTAAACCAAACAAGTAACCAAAATTGTTGATAAACGAGACATTTTGATAATGTAAACATAGAGTTTCTTAGAGAGAACTTAGTCTCTTTTATCTTGGTCTATGCAGTAGGCCAGGAGATGAGTTAGAAGACCATCTAACATATTGGACCCAGAAATAAAGTTTTATTTTCAGTATGGAAAGGGAAAAGATAATATCTGTAACAAATTCAGGATCAAAACAAATGGACGGGCTTTAAGGAAATGTATATTTTTTATGTGGAGGGGCATGTATAATATATGTTTTCAGGGAAATAGCAGGGATCGTTGGCTTCAGTGGGTAATATATCAGCACCTATAAAATCAGATCCAGTCATTTCTTTATACAACCTTGGAGAGAAAAACTGGAAAAGTAAATAAATGTATGGGACTTTATAATACAAAACTCTGATCTCTCTATCTATATTAAAATTTCAAACCATCTATGTCATTCTCTTACAGGCTGGTTATTACATCAGGGTCAAATTATATAGGAACATATGAAATGTAGGGCAAATCATCAATGTGTCAGTGTTCAATGAATGGCTCTGGATTGTGATATTGTCCCCTGGATAGTAATTAGTGTGGCTTTTTTCTAAGAGAAAACATCCCAATCTACTTTCCTTCAGTGACCATGCAGGAGTCAGAACAGATAATACATCAGTAATAGACATGATGTATCTATGTTTCAGCAGGTCATTCAATGTCTTCCCAAGATTGTCCCAAAGTAGTTTTGGCCATAGGAACAGAAAATAGTAATATGATCTATCGGGTACATATGCAGGTC